AATGTCAGTCGTTTGTTTTATCAGTATAAATCAGAGTTCGATAAACATGATCTAGCTCAATAAGGATGACACTAGTTCTTGCCTTATGCTGAGATCGAGATATAGAGACAAAGGGATTATAAGAATAGATGATTCTAGTACAAGTGGGAGATTGTTGGGAATGTCCTAAAATCATTTGTACTTATTCTTGGTAAAGTTGTAACGTCGAGGTTCGACAATCGTATAAAATTAGGTGGTTATAATGTTTTGCTAGAAACCACTTATAATCTATGAATTGAGAATTCATTACTAATATTATATGATCCTACAGGGTCACACACCTAAACAAACTAGATCAATATTATTTGGGGTTTAAGAATGATATGATATTATATATGTTATATGAGATGTAACATATATAAGTATGCATATAATTGATACATATAAATATGTGAATGTTCAAAGTACAACACATGCACGTAGGTGAAGAGAATATTGTATTCTCATTTACTTTGGGCTTAGCCCATAATATATGTGCTTACGTTAGGTTAAGTCCATGTTATATAATGATATAACGATGAGACTAATCTGATGATGAACTAACGACGCCGAACCCTAAATAAAAGAGAGACAAAAGAGTTTGTCAAATTTTGAGATTTGATCTCAACGGCACTAGCATCCCGTTCGATCTAGTTTGTGTGCGTGTGGATACCAGGAGAGGCACGACGTTTGGAGTGCTTAAAATCTCGACTTGATTGTTTATCTTTCCGCTGCAAAATAACCAGGTATATCCGAAACCCTAAGATCTAGATTTATTTCTGTATTTTCATGAGATCTAGACAAATATAATTCATAAATAGTTTTATAAATCGTTATAAACCGGTATGAATTTCTACAATGCCTTCCTAACAAACCCGACTAAATCTCAAGTATACCTTGTGGGGTATTAACCAAAACCTGTGTCTCAAACAAAGAAAGCTCAAACTTTAAAGGATGAACATCAGATTTTGTGTTCACCCAATAGATTTTCATGAGAGAAGCCATTTGTTGCCTTCACAAGTTCTTCGTATGAAAGCAGTGCTCTTGAATTGCACAAGTTCTGCGTGAGAGAGAGTGACGATGGATCTCGTCGGAGACGACGACAGATCCCGATGAAAACGACACCGAAGCTTCATGAAGACGATGACAACGAAGCTCGATCGAGACATTAAGCTTAGGAAAATCGATTGATACGAAGATACATAAATTGTTAAAGACAAATACGGTGAATCTCATGAATACGGCGACTGCTAGGCTTGACGAAGAAGACGACAACGAGAAATTAAGATGGAAGAAATCAAAGATAGATTAAAAAGGTTAGTTTAGTCATTTGGCCACTAATGACTTAGGTATTTATGAAAATGTTTTTCTAGCAAAGGTAAAAATGAAAAGTGGTACAATGAATGTGGTAAAATTGAAATTTTCCCATTATTCATTTAGTAACGTTTGCATTAATTTTTTTTCTGATTAGTAAGACATAGTTTATACACTTTATACTTCAATTTTGGTCACGGTTTCAGAACTGAAATTATTTTTATCAGAATTTAACGCATCATTTGAAATATTTTATAAGAAGTTAAAGTCCAAATATTGAATTCGTAAATTATACGTAACATATATATGTTACATGTCTCCTAATTTCAAAATCTAATTAAATAATATTTTTTTTATCAATTTTCATTTAAACCAAAAAACAAAATTATTATAAATTATGGATCCCAATATTTTGGTACACAATCAAAACTCATTTAAAATTAATGACAAACACATAGAGAGCAAAGACTTTGATCCATAAGAACAAAATCTAATGAAAATCTGAAAACTATGGCTGAAAGTTTTCATCAAAACTTTGTTTACTTCTCCTAGAAAGTCATGCTTTAGATTTCATCTGTAAGCAGTCCAGGGCGAATGGAGGTTGAAGTCAACGGGTCATATATCCCCTACTGTTTTTTATTTTTCTTATATAATCTATGTAAATTGTATTGAAACATTATTATTTTAGTGAATAAGTAAGAAATATCCCCCTATTAAACATTAGTTGTTTAACAATGTGTCCTCCGATTAAAATCGTTTGTGGATCCACCCTTGTCTGTAGCCAAAATATTTACATATCCACTAAGAAACAATTTGACTGAGCTCGTGACCTAACAGTCTATCACCGACCAACATGTGTTGGCTTTTAACGGTGACTTATGGGAGATATGGACTCCCAATCATGAAAGGACGATACCATCGTTAGAGAAAGAATTTTTTACCTACTATTGCCGGATGTGGGACTGCCTCTTCTAGCAAGAGGAGAATCCTGAACTGCAAAGTAAAGAAACAAACCAGACTTGAGTATCTAACCCAAATTCAAATCTAGCTGACTCGGATGAAAACGTAAACACAAAACAAAGTAGATTTGCAGAAAAGATAAAACCAACAACGCTATATATACAATCTGATAAATGGATAGAAACTCTGCTGAAATCAGAACAAAAAAAAGAAGGTAAAGAGCTTCTCTAAAAGATTCATCGAAAGAAAAGACAACTATCATTTGTATAATTTTGGTTCATGTGATGATGCTATGTCTCTAGTTAAGATTATACATGATGGTCCACGTTTTATACTGAATATATTTGTTTCCAAATCTGAGTAAGCTATTAAAAGGAAGAATTTTTAATAAATGATATGGAGAAAATAAAAGAGAAAATCGTAGGCTGATTTCATTTATTAATGAAAAAGTAAAATAATAATGGCATGTCATTGTAAATAACTCAAACTAGGTGATTTTCCCGTGCTCATGCACGGGCATGTATATTTATAAAATAAATAGAAAATAATAATTGATTGATATTTACTTTAATTTTTAAATTAATTTATAGTTTTGTATGTCTAATTTATATTATAATATTATATTACTTTAATTATATATAATTTTAGATATGTTATATTTAGTTTGTTTTATTATTTTTATGGTCGATTTAGTTATCATTTTGATATATTTGATTCTATCTATTTTATGAATTCAACTCTGATCTTTTATATTTTAAATATATTAAATTTTTGATTAATTGTCTTATTTGAATTTATGTTGGTTGTTATCTTAAAAATATAAGTATATTTAGTAAGATTATATATAACTTAAGATTTTTTTGTGTTTAGAAGGAAAAAAAATAAAAACTAAAGTGTCTCATTCTAAATTATATACATAAGTAACTAATGAATTTTTAGAAGCTTTTGAACACATATCAATATTTACAATAATTAAAATAATTTATAAATTCTAAACAAATTTATGCTTTAGATTGCTTGGATGGTAAAGTGAAATTTATTTTAAATAATTTAAAAAATAAGGATTGTGATTTGCTTAAGTATGTTGACTATGGTTATATTAAGTTTCACAAACATAAAAACAGAAAAATTAAAAATCGAAAGATTTATTAAGAAAACAGATAATTTTAACTATTAAAATATAATATATCTACCTCGCTAAATTATATAGTGTTATGGTATTTTAAAATAACTGTAGTTATTTTCTGGTTTTATGTTTGTGAAACTTAATATAACCATAATCAAAATACTTAAGTAAATCAGAATCCTTATTCTTAAAACAAATAATTTTAACTATTAAAATATAATATATCTACCTCGTTAAATTGTATAGTGTTGTGATATTTTAAAATAATTTTAGTTACTTGATCAAAAGATGTTTATTATTAAATTTATTTTTAGTTTTATTTTTAGTATCTCTTAAAATAGTCAGTAAAAAGTGATTTTTTTTTAGAAATTATACTATATAAGTAAATATAATTTATATGTTTATTGTAATTGTAGGATATTAGTCAAATAAATATACTAAACAAAAATTTCAATAATACTAATTATAAAAAATTGTAATTAAACATATATCAGTTTATGTTAGTTGATTATTTTATGTAATCATCTAATAAAATAGATAGATATACAAAAATAATTATTTTTAAAATATATATAAAGAAAAAATATTTTTTTTTTCTAATAGCAATATTTTTTTGTGTGAAATGTTTTTATGAAATCACATTATATACATATATTGTTTTTTTTTATCTAAGAAGATATAGATATAAAGTATTTTATTACTTCCAAGGTGTATTTTATGTTATTTTAAAATATATTTAAATTAAATATTACTATTTTGTGAACTTTCCATTTTTTATTAAACCATATTTTATATAATTATATTTTCGTTTTTAAATAGTTTTGTAAATTTTATAAATGTTTTCTTTTTATTTTATATTGTTATTTGGAAATTTTTAAAAAGGAAAAAATATTTAATTATATTTTTAATTCATTAGGGGTATCATAGTAATCAACCAGCGTTAGAGTTAACGTGAGCGCGACACCTAAGAAAGTGACTTCTCAAATAATATTATAGAGATAATCAGGGTAGAATCTTATTAGGTATTTGCTTTAATAGTATAGATGTCAAACTAAATATCATAAAATTAAGTTGAAAGGTGAATATTTTTTATTTGATCTATAGAATTTGATAAAAATATTTCAAAAATCAAAAAAAAAAAAGAATTCATATTTTTACTAAAACCATCAAAATATGATTAAAAACGATTTTAAAATATATTTTTCGAAATTTGAAAGGTATAAAACTTAAATATTTGCCCAAGTGTTCACTAATCCATAGGGGGTTTAGGGTTTATTGCATATTCAGAAAGAGAAAGGTTTTTTTTTCTTCAGTCTGATTTGTTTTTGCTTTTAACACAGGATGGAAAATCTAATTATTTGGGGCTGTTCTTGGTCTGAAACAGCTTGTGCAGAATTCCTTCAGATCGTATAGCACCAAGGACCTAACATAGACGTGTGGTCGCCATGAGTAAGTTTGTTGTTCACACGTTTTATTTTGGTTTTGTTGAGTATTAGTGATTAAATTTTTTCGTTTTTGTTTCGTAGTGTTAAGAGAAAGAAGGAAACTTTTTTGGAGATTTTTTAGGAAGGCAGTGATGAGAATGTTTGTGCTGCGATTGAGGTTAAAGAGAGGGCTAGAAGGTGAAATATATCTAAATTGTAGATGTCAAGAAAGGAAAAAATATAAGTTACATAGAAGATGTTCATCAACTTTTCTTGCTCTATAATAGATATTCACAGTGGAGGTTCGCAAATGCTAGAGCTGAAGGAGTTAGATATATCCAGAGGTTAATTGCTGAGGTAAAAATACTTATCTTTAATGTGACATTGTATTGAATTGCTCTGTTTTAACAATCTTGAGGTTACAGGAAACTCTATACAATGTCTGGCATGCAACATCAGGCCTGAGAGATATTGTGACAACCCAAAGAATTTGTCTCCAGCAGATGAAGCTAGAAATCAAGCTTGATGATATCTTAAATAAGCAGGTACGTCTTCTCTTTGTCTCTCTCATGAAATTATCATCATCATGGTCTTAATGCTTCCATGTATGAATTATAAGAGATGGTTTGCCTTGAAGATTGGGCCATATTTGAGAGAGTACATGTCAATTCTTTAGCTGGCACCATTGCAGGCTTGAAGCAAATACTCTGCGCCTTCCACTAACCTAAGGAACAAAGGTATGTGGTTTACCTTTTCATAGAGTAATAGAAAACAAGTTGAAGATCAAGAATGGAGAATTGATTTAGTGGAAGCTCTTGTGATCTTCACAGGTGGACCTCAGATCTCTGAAGTTAGATATGTCATCAGCTCTTGATGTAATGCATGCTATGGGATCATCCATATGGTCTTTACACTGTCAGGTGAGACTACTTAATTTTCATGGATCCAAAAGATTATGTCCTATCAAGTGCGTGAATTTCACCTCTATTGCCACTGCAGATGGAAGAGATAAATAGACTTGCTTCGGATCTTGCCGTTATAGCTACAAAAGAGAATTTAATGCTTGGTAGATGTGAAAATATGTTGGCATCAACCGCAGTCACGAAGATAGCAAATCAAACAAAAACACTAAGATATCTATATTATATGTTTCAACAAGTTAACCGAGTTTGTCATTATGTGAATCCAGATAGAAGAGAGTAGCCTCATGACTCATTTAATGCAAAAGAAGCAAGAAGAAGAAGAGATGATACAAAGTCTCTATTGTTGCCATTAAGCAAGTTTCCATGGCCAACACTTAACAATGACTTATAAATTGCTCTTTTTGGCTGCCATTTTCTTCTACCGCCATCTTTTCTCCTTTTGGTCTTTAACGTGTAGGAAAAGGATGTGAAATAAATGGTCTAAAGAAAATCAATGAAGAAAATGCAATTTAACAATTCACACGTAGCTCAGTTTATTTCTAATTCAAAATTTATATTTATAAAAATTTGCAAACGAACTTTAATGGGAAATTGCCAAAAATAACACTTTTAAGATACCACTTTTTAACTTTACACTAACCAACTTTACCATTAAAATTTTAATAGGCAAAATATTATTATACCCTTAATTAACTAAACTTAACAATTTTAATAAGGTTTTGATGGATTAGGGTTTAGAGTTTAGAATTTAGGGTTTAAGGTTAAAATTTAGGATTTAGGGTTAAGAATTTAAGGTTTCGGATTTAGAATTTAGGGTTTAAAATTTAGGGTTTAGAATTTAGGGTTTAGGGTATAGAATTTAAGATTTAGGGTTTTGAAGATAAGGTTTAGGGTTTAGAATTTAGGGTTTAGGGTTTCAAATTTATAGTTTAGGGTATAGAATTTAGGTTTTAGGGTTTAGAGTTTAGGGTTTAGAATTGATATTTTAGGGTTTTGTGTTGATTTATTAGGGTTTAGAGTTTAGGGTTTAGGGTTTAGAGTTTAGGGTTTAGGGTTTAGAATTGATATTTTAGGGTTTAGGGTTGATTTTTAGAGTTTAGGGTTGATTTTTAGAGTTTAGGGTTTAAAATTGATGTTTTAGGGTTGAGGGTTAATATTTTAGGGTTTAGGGTTTAGAATTGATGTTTTAGGGTTTAGAGTTTAGTATTGATGTTTTTGTGTTTTTTATTTATTTAAATATTTATTTCATATAATATATAAAAAAATGGGTACAAGAGTCTTTTATCCTTTGATGAAATGTGTATTTTGGAAAATGTTCCTTTGTTGATGGTAAAAATAAAAAGTGGTACTACCAAAGTGGTATAATTGAAATTCACCCAACTTTAATTTATAAACAAACTTGTGATAACAAATTCATGCTAAAGCACATGATGCATCATGATTGTTTATTCATTGCTTTTTTATAAATTTTAAGATCTCAGATTAATATGTAGTGTACATCTTAAATAGGATAAAATATTATTGTTTTCTTAGAATGTGTGAAAATTAAAACAAACATATATAATTGTGGGCTTATATTGACACTATATTGATGTGTCATTATAATTTCTATAATAATAGTAATATATGTAGATAAAATTGTTGTAAAACAATTATGATTCTCAATGTTATCTAAATGTATGCATTTTCATAATTTTTATTATTATTTTTATGTTTTGGTCCCAATTGTCTAAATTACGCATTCTAAATAGAAATGTTTATATTTACATGAGCTATATTTACCCTTAATTTTAAAAAATTAAATAAATACTTATAATCATAGAATTAACTAATCCAGATTTAGGGTTTAGATTTGAGGAATATTGTTTTGAAAGATGAGGTATAGGACTTTAATAAATATATAAATAAATACTTACCTCTTTTAAAAAATAATTTACTAAAAATTTTGAATTTGAAAATGAAAATTTGAAAAAAAATCAAAAAATGAAAATTCGAAATAAATAAATTTTGATTTTTTTGATAAAAATTTCTAATTTGAAAATGTATAATTGAATAACTATATAATAAAAAACTCATTATTACACCAAATACTAAATATGCAGAGTACATAGCAAAGAAAAAGAACAACATGTGTTTCTCATCTTTTGGTGTGTTAGTTATGGTAATAATTTTCTAGAGTTTAAATCTTAATCATATTTTAAATAACAGAAAATAAGTGGCAGAAGAGAAAAAAATTCATATTCCAAATAATTAAGTGAAAATCCTTTAAAATACTTCAAGTAAATTTCCTCACGATTTTGAATACCCAAACTTATTTGATATCAGTTTAATATTTCAACTAATTATTTTTCTCATTTTAATATATGTGATCATTTTACTACCCAGCCTATCCTCATTTTAATAAAAAAAATTAAATAAATTTCAAACAAAACTTTAAAAAATTTGAAATAAAAATAAATCTGAAACTTTTCATATTTAATTTCAAGTTTAGGAATAAATTAACTAAATTGTGGATATAATATTAAAATTTAGAAATTATTTATATAAATAAATAAATTAATTTTAAACTTCAGAAAGAAAACTAAATTTTAAATGTAAACTACAAATAAGAATATAGTTTTAAATATTATCCACAGTTTAGATACTTTAATCCCATAACTTAAAATAAAAATAGAAAATTTAAAATTTATTGTGATCAATTTTGAAGTTTTTTTAAATTTTCATTCGATCTTATAAATAATTTGGGTATTAATATGAGTACATTTTTAAGATTAAGTGTATTAAATGAATAAATAATTAATTTAGGTATGAAATTGGATAATAAAAAGTTAGGTATTAAAAAACTTAATAATATTTAGTTGATGTATTTTTATGGATTTTTTTCAATAAGAAATTAATAAAAGTACATATAGTTTATTAAATTAAATATAAACTCAAACAATTCAATCGACATAATAGTATAAAACATTTTAAAAAATAAAATATTAAAATAGATAACACAACAGTATAAAAACATTTAAAAAAAGATAAAATATTAAAATAGATAATCCGCGCGTAGACTTGTCAAAATGGGTCAGAAATAGTGGATTACCCAAAACCAATCCAATCCATGGATATTAATGGATCAGAAATTTGGATGTTAACGGATAAATGGACTTAATGGGTTTATGGGTCTAATAAGTTGGATTGAAATGGTTTGGGCTAAAATGAGTAAATAGATAACCCAATCCAAACCATTTAGTGAAGCTTAATAAAAAAAAAGTTTGTCGTCTTCATCAAACAACGGATCCAAACTCCTTTAACTCCCAAACTCATCGTTGTTCCTCTCATCACCACCGTAACCGCTATTGAATCCGGCGGATCGTCATCATCAACAAGTCCAATAACGTCATCATCATCATCACATCGTGAATCTAATTTCAGGTTCGTTTTACTTGAATCGGTTACTCTGTTTTACTTGAATCGACTCTTCTGATTGAGTTTTTTATCTTTCGATTAGAGTTTGAATCCAAGTTTGAATCGATTCTTCCCAATATCTCCAGAGAGGCATCAAAATCTGAGGTGGGTTCCTCTTCCTTCCACACTCTTACCTTTCTATTTTTTTAATATTCTAACAGCAAGAGAATTGGTGAGAGACATGCGATGGGGTTGGCCTAAAATGTGGCTCATTAATTTAACCTTTTTCCCGAGAATAAACGATTCTTCTATTAATTAAGCTTTTGAGATGTTTTTGTTAACGAGATCGGAATAAACTAACCAACATAACACAACTCTTTATATAATGATCTTGCAATCTTGCTAAAAAGTCTGCTGCTCCATATTGCACTCTTGGATATGAGATATCTTGAAAACTGGGAAACAAATCAGCAACATCTTTAATGCCTCATATTTTGTTGCAAAACTTGGCCACACATTAGGTTCTTTTATCATCGAGATTAGATCTTTACAGTCCGTCCCAAAACTCTGACATGAAAAATGTTGAAGCATATTCTCCATTACCCATAGTAGAACTTGAAAACGCATAAAGGCTATGATTTTCTTTGCCTTGACCATTGCCATTTGCTTGACACAGAACAAAAACATATTGAGGAGAAAGATGAGAGAGTAAGTCAATGATGAGAGATAGAGGTCCAGTGATATCTTCAACATATTCGACCCCATGAAAAAATATACTATAAAAACATAGAGGATAAGTTCCAAAATCTCCATAGCAACAATGAGGCTTTAAAACGAAAGCTGCTGTAGAAGCAGAAGAGTCGCGAATTTTGGCTAGATTTAGCTAAGTCATGTGAAGAACTCTTCTTTTTAACATTTGTCTCTTTTTCTCTTTATTTCTTTATGTCAATACATTTCTTCTTCATTCCAACAAAATCTCCTGATACTGTAAAACTATCTGTAACGATTCGATTTTTGGTTTCGGATTTTGTTAGCATGCTAAGCCTCAAGCCCGCATGCCCATTCGATTTCTGAAGCCCCAATATTATGAAAATAAAGACCAAGTATTTCAGCACCTTGTTTTCTCCACCTCCACAAAGAAGAAGAAGAAAATCAGAAGTTGAGAGAGAGAAAGAGAGAGAGATAGAGAGAGAGAGAGAGAGAGAGAGAGAGAGAGAGAGAGAGAGAGAGAGAGAGAGAGAGAGAGAGAGAGAGAAAGAGATGGGAAACCCTTGTGCTTGAGCCACCAGGAGCTGTCGCCAGAACCACCACACACCAAGACCAAGACCAAGTCCAGCTCACCACACCGGTTCGTAACCGCTAAGAACAACCGGAAACCGCCTTGAGAGTAAGCTTCATCACGGCCGTTTAGTAAATCGCCAATAACTTCTAAAACGTTGAGAATATCGTACATGCAAGGTTACCACCATGTTCTACTCGTTGAGACGAAGCCGTAGGCACCGAAAACGCTGCAATCCGACCTCAGACGAAGCCACACGCGCCTTCAGAAGTTTCGCAGGAAATTGCCGTCCGCCACCGTCCTCTGCCGCCTGACCGCCACCGGACCACCGCCGGACCACCGTCACCACCGCCCTCCGCTGTCGCCGCCGGTGACTCGCCGGCGACTCGCCCAACTCAGCTGAGTCGACTCGGTTAACGGTTGGTTTGACCGGTTTAACTTGATTTCAGTTTGGTTAGGATAAACCGACGGTTAAAATCAATTAGAAATCGGTTATAGTTAAACAGGTTAGTTAAATTAATTGATTTTGGTTAAGTGTAAACCGGATTGTAATCGATTAGGACTTGGTTCAATTGAATTTGATTTCGGTTAAGGAAAACCGGATGGTTTAATTCAATTTCAATTTGGATAAGGTTTGACCAGGGTTGACTTTGACATGCGAGTTGACTTTTTGACTAA